ACCCTTTTCCACAATAGACGCAAGGGAGCTGGTGGATAATATTGCCACGGATTATATTACATGGTACGCCGAAACCAAAGCCCTTCCGTCAGGAATTGCGGTTTGAGTCGCCAGGGTTTTCATCGGGTCCATCATCCTTAGGCACGGCGCTCTTGAGGTCTTAATTACAAATGGCGGATCGTCGTCTATGGCGCATTTGACGCAACAGGTCCTTCGTCTCAGTAGCACCAGCCACCGTCAAACCACCACATACCATCCAAAGACAAATGAACTAAGGACGGCTGATCAAGACCATCGCCGAGGTGATCTCCATGTACGTCGACGTACAGCACAAGACGTGGGACGAGGTGTTGCCCTACGTCACGTTTGTTGGTCGCAACACGGCCGTGCAAGAGACCACCGGAGTGAGGCCATTTCAACTGGTTCATAGTCGCAAAGTAACAACGATGCTTGACGCGATGTTGCTCCACGAACCAGCAGTCGAAAGAAGCGAAGAAGCTTAGGTGGTTGCTGAATGGGCAGAGGAAGTCCGCTAGCTTGCCTGACTCTGGATTCAAGCACTCCAACTTGTCGACGCTGGTCGCTACAAGCTTCGTCGTTGGGACGCCCACTTCCAGTCTGGAGATAGGGTGCGGGTATGTGCACCGATTCGCCGCCGCGGTCTGAGCAACAAACTCCTGAAACGCTACTTGGGACCCTATGAGGTATTTCGTCGACTCGGAGATCTGAACTACGAGGTGATGCCCGACGGAACAAGAACCTCATCACGCCGCCCACCACGATCTTAAAACGTCCAGGTCGTGAGCTAAAAGCCTCCGTAGCTTGCCTTTTTTTGTTTGTTTTGCTATTTTGTTTTCTGCACCTTGCATCGAGACGATGCACTATCATAAGGGGGGCTGTAATGCCGCGCGCGTTACCGAGCGAGCGATTGCGTGGCTGGATGGTTAGCGTGCTTGGCTCACGCCCGGAGGCCCCAGGTTCGATTCCTAGGAGCGGGCGATTTGTTTATTTGTTCTTTCAATTTAGCGTTCTCGTAAATTCTAGAACCTTGTCGTCTGTTCGAGGTACGCATTATCTACGCCCGAACGTTCTACGCCGAATATTTCAGTAACCGACTCGGGTACGAAAGGCGCTCCGCGTGGCGGTCCGGAATCGGTCTCGTACTTGCGGTCGAGCCTGCAATAATGCCTTCTAGGCGCTGCAGAAGTTCTCTGAATAAAGAATAAAGAATACTGCACCGACTTCGACGCCACGACGCTCTGTTGTTACCTTTTGCTTTCTTAATGCGCAAGCATTAACTCTCCCATGGAGCGAGCCGACGTCATCAGCCGCGCCAAATGGCACCTGAATTCCCTGTTTCGACTACGATGCTCTTGGCATCGTCCTTGCGGTCGTCTTAGGAGTCGCTTTGAACACCTAGGACGACCTCACTTGTCACAGTTCGTGAAAAACAAGCGGCGTAGTCAGCGTTGTGGCCACCCACGCAAATACGCCACAGCCTGCTTAAGTGTCCTCTTCTAGGCGTCGTTCTTGACGTCGTCCTAAACGTCGTCCTCTAAGCATCATTCTTGACTTCGTCCTAGAGCTGGTCCTAAAGGTCGTTCAAGACGTCGTTCTTGACGTCGTCCTAGAGGTGGTCCTAGAGGTCGTCCTAGACGCCGTTCTTGACGTCGTCCTAGAGGTTGTCTTAGACGTCGTCCTTAAGGTCGTCCTAGATGTCATCCTCAACGTCGTCCTACGAGTCGTCCATGACTGGCTCTCGCCTTCCTATACGTAAGCAGTCTCAAGTAAAAATCGTAATTCTTTACCTCTAGATGTTTTAAAACGTGGCATATTGACTGATCAATTGGTTCCATCATTCATAACGATGTGGGAGAAATAATTACTATAAATGTAAAGACCAGTTTAATTAACTACTCTTTATTGTTGTACTTCCCGCCATGCTAAAACCAAAAGGACTGGAGTTTTAGTGAGTTAGAAATATTAGATTTTTTTTTTTCTGACTTGACTGCGGTGCGCCCCGAAACAAAGGAGGAGGAGGAGGAGCAGACGTGAGCGGGCGGAGACGCCAGAGCGCGGAACTCTGGTTCGAAGGATTGGACCTAAAGCTGTCTCTACTCACTGTTGGAACGGGTTGAAACGCGGACGCCGGCGTTCAGGGTTCAGCCATGTTCTAAGAGGAGAACACCGTGATAGAAACGAAGGCTTTGCGTCTACTCAGTAATCGTTCCTTTCAGAGCTCGGTGTTTTGACGTTCTCGCCCACTCTCGCGTCTTCCTCTCTCTCAACACCTACCCGCATCGGATATTACTTTTCGAGATTTTGTTTCTTTTGCGTTTGGTTTTGTTGCAATAGGACGCTACGTAGCCGATGAATGAAATGGAAGGTAGAAACCAAGCTGCACAAAAGAGAGCTTCTCGTTGATCGTGTTCAGCCTTACGGAAATCTTTCTTGATTAAAGGTTCTTTAAGTTAAATACAAAAACAAATGATCACAAAAAGCATCGATTTAGAAAGAAATGGTAAATAAAAAATGGATTTCAGGCATGTTTGCGGTAAATCTTTCAATTATCACTAAAACGGAGTGAATTAGATCACAATTTAAATCACACTGATTATTATTATCTACCATGCTAACCAGTATGGAAAAGGATCTCAGCATCTAAACCATGGTTTACGAACACCTTTACAAACCGGATAGTGTAAACAATTACATCAGTGTTTCGCATTTTAGGAGTGTGTCAGCGCACACAACCAAATCTTACCAGCATGTCTGGTGCCTGACTTTAACATATTAAACGAGTCTTGTGGTTTTTAAAGTAAACTTCCATATGTGGCTAGGCAAAACGTCAATTTCTTTATGTTGCTGGCCGTGTCCGACTCTGCACATATTCCTGGATACAAATAACTCGCTGCTTTGATAGGGAAAGCTGTTTTGATAATAGATTCGCTACACAAAACTTCATACTAAAGAAGCTGGTGAATCAGTCAACATTATTCCGCGGCGTACTTTTGCTCAATAGCGAAAACTGTCCATTCAAAGACAGGAAACCTGATCATTGAATATCTATATTTATTTTGCTCGTAAATATGTTTTCACAGGATCTGACCATCTTTTGCGATTGAAACTGGAGGACTCTAAGGAGGATTCTTGCAACGTAGCCATTAAATATAAAGTCGACAAGAAAGCATAATTTGTAACAATAGTTCATTTAAAATGTGCCTGTTTTCTCGATTATCTAATTTCGACCATTTAGTTTTTATGGGCTGTCTATTGGGGCTTTGTCGTCGGGTATTTTTCTCTGGTTATAGAGCAAACTTCAGCAGATACTGTTTGTCATGTGCCAGCGGAGGCCTCGATTATTCGCCCGTTTGAAAGGCTTGTGCGACAGCAGCTTTACATTTTTCGGCAAAGAGTCTGAGAAGAAATCGGCCTTTTTGAGGGTTCTTTGATACTTATATAGCTGGTTTTGGTGGTAACGGGCGAGTTTTGTTTTGGGTAAACAACTAGCCCCAGAGGCGCGCTGCGACCGAAGTCAAGCTGTCGTGCTAATGGCGGCATCAGTTGCTCTTGAAACTTAGCCCGCTGCGAGTAGTGTTAGTGATCGGTGGGTTACCGCGGAAAGTCGGTGACCTGCAGTATGCAGTATGCATACTGCAGGTCACCGTGTAATATTCGTGTAATACTGCAGTATGCACTGCAATATTACACGAAGTACATGAAGTATCTAATGTGCAGAGAAATTAGATATGCATGTTGCGGTTGATGTTACAGACGCACCTAGAACAATCTCATAATCACTAATGTGTTGATCGAGGCTCGCATTACTTTGTCTCTCCTTGCTGGGTCCCAGAGAGTGCAGCTTGTCGAGCGAGTCTTAAGGCGCCTCCCAGAGAGGCGCCTTAAGACGATGGCTATGGTTAGCAAAAACACGCGTAAGTGAAGTACAACAAAGCCTCGATTAGTCCTGTTGGGTGAATACTTTAGCGATGTTAATAACGAAGCCATCCGTCCAAATAATGGAGCGACGAAGAATGTGCTCACCGCAAACTGGTGTGAACTTTGCTTCACGACAAGTGTCACTATATTACTTGCGAGATTTGTTGGGCCTCCTCAGTTCTAGAAGCGACGGGTTTGATGTTTGTTGGATAGACACCGCTTTCGTTGTCCTGTTACAGTCCAAGCAAACGGTCGGGCATACACGCGGTAGTTATAAAAGGAACACTGACAGGGTATTTATGCTCGCCAAGGTTTGTATTTGTACATGACATATGAGAGCGAAACTACCCAGAAAACAAATTACGGTTCGAAATTGGTTTTCTTTCGCGTGGTAACTAACTGGCCGTTTTGAGTTACTCTCTTTTTTGTGGTCATAAACCGTTTTCTATGGTTAAGACACAACCACCAAAGATAATCAGAGTTGTGGGTCATCGAAGGAACACACCCATTACTAAAAATAGGCTGAAAATAAGACACACATTTCCCGTGGCTTCTAAAATGCTGCGAATACGTTGATTGAAAAAAAAAAAAGGAAGGCTGCAGAGCCACGTGATTTCCGGTAAATTTCTTCTCTCTATTCCTTCTTCCTCCCCACTTCCGATTCGGTTTCGGTTTGGAGCACTTGCGTTTTTTTTTTTTTTTTACTTTATTAAAAATATATGTCACAGTGTAGAAAAATATTGATGTGGTGTCTTTTGACACTACATAAAATCGCCTAGCAAAAAATAAGAACAAAAACAAATTTGAGGGGTGCCAGTGTCCCTTTAAGAGGCGTCGACAACGCACTGCAATTTCACGCCAACCGTCCCAGCGAAAATTATGAGCTGTAGCAGGCACGAAAGCAAAGGCAATGCAACACATTTTTTGTTTACGTCACCATTTCGCCTTACTATGACACCAGCGCCATGTTGGGGTGTATATCTCGCTTTTTTACGATCAAAGTTCTCCCGTAGAATGATGACGAAGTCTCCCAAAAAAATAAATGTCTCCAGAAACCCTAGTTTTATAGAATAAGAGCTATTAATGCATTTTTTATTAATCGCTAAAGAAGGTGAAGCAAACATTTTGTACAGTCCAGAGAAACATGCTACAACAGATGATCGCACTCGCAGTACCCAGGGCCGTTTGAGGGCTCAGCATGGAGACCTCGCCTGCGAAAAGGAAAAGAAACAAATAGAAATAGTTGAACATTCATTTCCAACTTGTGTACATGTACACTCAAATTTTTTGCATGCCCCAAAAATATTTGTAGGCATTCAGTAACTCCTTCTAGGCGAGCACCCGATGATCCTTTGGCAAAACAAAAAAAAACAACGTTATACCAAAACAAACAAAAAAAAAGCGCACAGGGCGCAATTTTTTAGCGCGCCCTGTGCGCTAATATAGAAACTTGGCGTCTGCGGAAAACGAGATCACTAAAGACGTCACATAAGCAATGAGTGCATAGAAATAGCGCGCAAACGTTGTAACACCAAGATTTATTTCTTTTTCAGGCCCCGACATGCCGGCTGCAATTTGATCTACTCACGCGTTTGTAGACCTACGCAAATACTTCCGGCAGTTATGGGGTGAAAATCTGGTTAAGTCGTAAACATTGAAATGGAATGTTAGTATATATAGCAGGGTTGGGCAGAAACACTCAAAAATGTATTTGGAAATACAAATACTGGGATACATTAAAATAGTAGCTAAAATACTGATACTGAGATATATCTGTAAACGTGTATCGCGATACGCATCGGAAATACATTTTAAAAAGAGGCAAAAAGTATTTGGAAATACAAATACAGGAATACATTTTAGGGACGGCAGAAATACAGATACAAAAATACTGATACTGCAATACATTTTTAAAATTTGTTTGAGACGCCAAATGAGATGCTTGAAGTTGGAGGTTGAAGTTTCTTATCCTGAAATTACTTTACCGTAGGCTTGGAAATTTGTTTTGAAGGTAGTGATTTTGGACGACGAGGAGTTTTCAATGGGCTCGAAAAAACGTTCCATCAAGGACTGACCGCGGTCTCTTCCCTGACATCCTTTCTGTTTGATGAGGGATGCCAAAAGACTTCGACCTCTAAATAAAGTATATGTCATCCTAAATCACCACGTCCCAGTCCAATAAGGACGCCCCTGTCAACATTTATCCCATGACATCACGATGGAATTAACTGGCATTCTTTATCTGTAGGTGTGGCCTTGAACATGAAACTTTAGCACGCTGCTGTATGAAAGGACAATACGTACTTTCGTTGCAGTTTACCTCGATGAAGATCGAGCAGGCAGTGTCATTTGGATTTTTCGAGAATAGTGGACTACCTGAAGCATCCTGGAACACCTGTCTTATCTCCTCTTACGGTTGAAAAAACGATACGGTGGCATCTCTATTGTAAAGGTCTTTCTTGTCGACCCCCTGCCACCGACGCATGGATTGCAGTCCTCAGGTTTTGTCTTGCATACTCCGAATAGAGACCTCGTGGATTGCGACCTGATATTGCCGGCACAAGTGCGAGCTCCTTGAGAAACAGCGAACTCGAGACAAGTCGCAGGTGTACGAAGTCTGGGTCGGCACAGCGAGGCCACGTCTGACTTCCTTGCTCGGTTTCAGATCACCAGAGCAGCGGGTCACGTTCACGTCGGCTGATGACGTACCCTTAAGTCGTGCAATATTACGCGCGAAGCAGCAGACGCATCTGAATATCTGTTGAACTTCACTGCGTGGGTCATCCTACTATTTTTAGTCAACCACCATCAGGCTCGAACTGCAACGGACTGTGACTCAGCTTTGCCGGCCGGGTGTACTGCGTACGCTAAGGCAAAAGAGATGGTTAGCAGCGGGCATTGGATGTCAGCAAATAATAACTCAAGGCATCCCTACCTAAGGACCTGCGGCAGAAGATGCTCTGACTCTACTCCTGGCATGCCACCTAGTTCGAGTCCCCGACCACGCAACACTTCTCAGAAGGGCGAAGATGACGCATAGGAAAATAGTTTGGAGAATCGAAAGGAACCTTGGTCAGTATGGTAACAATTCCCCAGCACCTCCTTGGCCCTAAAGCCCTCAGAAGTAAAAAGAAAAAAAAATGCGTTAAATTGTTTTTTTTTCGGGGGAGGGGGGTGTATTTCTCAAGAAATGTAACGAAATACATTTCACCCTGATTGTATTGCAATACAAAGGAGCATTCAAAATATATTCCGATACAGGAATACAGATACTGGTGAAAAAAATGTATCGCGATACAGAAATACAGATACGAAATGTATTTCTGAAATACTATCGCGATACATATGTATCGCGATACTGCCCAGCCCTGATATATAGGCTATGCTTAAGGTAAGGAGAACGCAACAAAAGAATGCTTTGCAAAAAAAAATATTTGAAGAGAACAAAATTATCGAGTGCGCCAGGTACGGCATATTCGATTTTTGAAGTTTTCGCTTATGTCATGTTTGGTCACACCTACTACGCAAGCTACAATATTGCCAAATCTCATATATTTTCCGGTTAATAGACCACGGGAATTATTGATTTAAACATGCACAGCCTGGAATAGGTTATATATGTCGCGTCAAAAATGCGGAGATATAGTTCCTTCGAGGTTTTGTCTCAAAATGTTTCAGCCGTTATCTAAACAATTGATTATCTATGATATTTAAACCGATGTCAGACATTGTTATTAAAGCGTGCTTTCGAATAATATATATATATATATATATATATATATATATATATATATATATATATATATATATATATATATATATATATATATATCATTGCTTTATCTCAATTTTTTTATGTCGTTCAAACTAGTCTTAAAATACAAACCTAAGGAATTAAATAAAAATTATGAATTTTTTTGTTTTGTTTAAAGTGATAGTTCTCCAAAATACCTTTGTGTTCATTCTTTAAAAAAAAGACATATTGCATCAATTTCTTTTCTTCAAAACTGCACTCTGCAAAGTGCACTTTCCCGGCCGGCCTTCTTTGCCCAATGCGACAAACGAGATTATATTTTTATTCCGTGTATTTTATCACTAAATATATGTTTTTCTTCTGCTGTATTTTGGGTATTGGGCAAACGTTTACGTGTTCTGGCAATTATAACAATAGCTGCGTTGCTTTCATCTTTTATCGATTTAATTTATTAGCCTGTTTTGCCCTTTATAATTGCAAGTTCTAGGAGCTTTAGCTAAACGTTTTTCACAAAACCGGGACGAAAACAATTGTAATTGCTGCGACAACATTTTTTACAGTAATTATAGTAGAAATGTAAGTACAACGGTGCCCAAATATATGCGAATATTCCTACCTATATTCGCAATGAAGTGGGGATGTTTGACCCCAAGCTTCTTACACTGCTATTCATAACGAATGTACTTCCTGCTGACCAAGGAAAACCTGTGACTACATGGCAGACTTTTAGTAAGACGTCCGTCAAGATTAAAAATATTTGTGATTATTCATTTTTTTTAAATAAAAAAAATAACCAGTAAAGATATTGAGCGCACTAACTGCTCGTGTTGGCAGGTTGGCATCTTGAGGAGTCCGTCTTTTGTCCCCCTTCATACCAGATTGACGAATCACGCGAAGCACTCACCCGTGCTGCTATATTTCTAACGAGTGCTAGAAAATCGATCAACTTCGAATGCCACCACAAATAAGGAACGCACGAACTGGGGGATTTTGCCCGATGTTTTTTGGAGAACTGACATCCAGAACTTACGCAATACAAAAAATATATTTCTTTTGCTATTTTCTTTTGGTTTTTACTAAGATACTCTTCACAGAATACACTACAGACGCCGTAAGTCGTTGCCATGGCTGAAGACGTTCTGTCGAGACGCAACTACACAGGATTTGCAACCACTTCGTTCGTTTATGACCACAGCGTGCGTGCTGTCGTGTCTCATGATCACAATACTCCGCAACCTCCCGAAAGCATGACAGAAGAGAGAAGAAAAGAAAGGATAATGCGTTCTGAGGTTTTCTATGAGGCACAGAGAGCAATGGCCCGTTCGCACACATGCGACTTCGTAGAACAGTCTGCCTTGAAATCTCTTAAAATATCTTACGACAAGAGACACTCCAGCGCCAGCGATCGGGGGGTCGTGGAATACTTCTCAATCACATATTCATTCAAATTATTCTTTTTCTTTTTCATTTTTCGTTTTCAACATTCTTTTTCTGATGTCTATCTGTTGCACTGCAGGGTATGCTGCATGCAGTATATTGGACATACCGATCTCCCCTTCCGTCAAATATTTGACAATCATAAGTCCCACCATAACACACTCCCCAGACTACCGCTCTCCAAAGATACGCGTCTCGATCAACACGACATAAACAAAATATTTGTACCTGTACTTCTATCGGGATTCAGCACAGCACGCGAAAGGGAGCAAAGGGAATCGTACCTAATTAAAAAGTTTAACACGCTTCGAGCGGGCATTAACGAGAACGCCGGCCTGCTTAGCTGCTTACATCTTGAACAGTTCACCTCCTCGGAACCCCCACGTTGACGGGAAAACGAAAAGACGGGAGTCCCCTGCCTAGAGTTTTGCCTGCGCTGGACATCAGTACGACCTCGAGGAATGTCTGCGCTCTCGGGTGCGAGATGGGGAGGCGGCCGGTGAGAAAAATAAAAATAAGTAAAATGGAAGAAGAAAAGGGAGGGGGGGGGGGGGAGGCATGCTTGCACGTGAGTGTGTGGGTGTGTGTGTGTGTGTGGGGGGGGGGGGGTGGAGAGGGGTGTTTAGGTGTGTGACTTGAACCATCGCGCGTCTCGGTTCGCGTCCGAGCTGCTCCTGTGCCTCTGCTGGCTCTTCTTGGCCACCCGGGCGCTCTTCTGGGCCCACTAGATTTTGTTTTATTCCCTTGTTTCGTTCCGGACACTGCCGAGCCCCTACGGCGCCCAGCGGGAGGTTGTCAGGGGATGCAGGCGGGGCCCCTTCCCTGGCCGCGGCCTTCGTCTACCCATGGTAGGTCCTGAGAAGTTGTTTTTTCGCCTTTCCTCAATATTTTTTTTTTTTTTTGCCGCCGTGTTAAGGTGGCGGGCTTCCGACCTTCACTGCAACATTAGGACCTCATGAAGAGCGGTCCCCGCTTGGAACGTCGTCCAATAAATACGTTTTAAAGCATTTACCTCCTTTT